ACATATTAGGGCTAATAGTTTGGAAAGCCTCTCGTATTTTTACTTGAAGCTCATCCAGATTATTAGCCCTATTATGACCATACACTTTGGATTTTACATAACCCCACAAAAAGAAATCATTGGGAGAAAGATCTGGTGATCTAGCGGGCCACAAAATAGTTCCATATCCTGGGAAAAGTATTGTTCAAATATTCTTGAACAATACGGGCATTGTGGGCAGGGCAACCACCTCAGCAATTTGATTACTTGAAAAGGTGGGATTTTGATCCGCGGTACCACAAATGTTTGTATATCCCGATAAGATCTATTTTGGAAATACCATTTTACAATTTGAATTTGCTCACGAACTTCGTAAACATCCATTATTTTACTTAAAAAATAAATTTTACACGAGAACTGTCGCGAGAATCTATGTATTCGTTTTAGCTATTAGTTCAGTTTCGTTTTCCTAGTTATCGATTCTGAATCGTCCTAGAACTCTCCAGCGCATGCGCAAATGAAATAATGTCTTCATATTTCCTTCTGCGCATACGCATCACAATTCTAGGACGGTTCAGAATCGGTAATAACAGGAAAACGAAAAAAGCTATTAAAACACGAATAAATACAAATTCTGAAACATTCTTATCACATATCTACCTATTTTTATTTTATCGCATTTTCTCGCCTGCTTTTATCCGGCGGACGGGTATACGCTAATTCGTCCGGTTCTGCCTATGTTACTACTACGGTGGTCCGGTCTGTATAATCACATGCACTGAGTAAAAGGCTTTTGTTCTGTGTATAGAATACCGGTTGTGTGTAAATTAAGTGTATTATACTAGGCTGTAAAAAATGAAGTTTACTAGGTTCAAAAATTGATAAGTTGTTGTCAAAATTGAAGTTGGCATTTGTGACATTTTCTCTTTAACACAGTAAGAATTCGAAAAAATATTAGATAAATTATTTTATTAAAATATAATACAAATTTTTTATGGTTATGTTTCATGTTTTCTTTAGTTCCTAACTAAATTTCTGGATCGTATTTCAATAAAGGAACCCACTCTTCTATATCTTTAGAATCTAAAATTTATATTTATATTCAATCTGTAATAGAAAGTATGTTAGTAGGGAGGTTACTTGACAATCTATATGAAAACCGGAAATATACCGGGTGTTTTTCAAAAGTGGCTCACCCTTGTAGGCTTGGTGCATTCTCCGACGGTGCTGCCACTATCACAGAATAACGAAAACAACTAGTATATTAATTATTCTAAAAGTGTAAGGAAGTATAAGTTATCTTTAGGTCTAACTTGTATTATAATTTATTATTCCAGTTAAAAAAACTTTTTAGATGAGTTCAACTAAGGTAGCGAGCATAGTTTTAATTACCGGTTTTGCCAGTGGCGTATAATTGGGGCTATTTCGGCTATAACGTAATTTTTTAAAGATACATAATTATAATTTTAGGAGATGTTCATAAATCATTTAATCACTAGTTGATTAAAAAATGTATACCATTAATATTACAAATTATATTTTATCCTCTCATAGTATATGTCTATTTAATTTTTTGATTCTATAACGAGCACTTTGTTTACTCACTTGTTTCGTCGAACTGCTTGAATTCGTTTTGCTTTTGATCAAATCGGTGTGAGAAACTATGAAGCTATAAAATGTTTGGTTTGGTTTGGTTTGAATGTCCGGGAAAGTTGAGTTATTGAATGTTATTGCACTGAACAACGCCCTAATTACGCTCTCCTTTACGCGTTAACATTTTTTTGGCATTTTATCAACATTTGAAATTGTCACAACACAACAAGACGCCTAGTTCGAATTCTTTTTCACTTATTTTTTACTACCCGAAACAGCGTTACATCACACAAACCTCGCACCTGAGTAATTTATAGTCTCAATAACTGCACTAGCAAAAAACTAAAATGCTTAAATATTATGACAAAACCACGATTTCAATATGATTTTAATGCGATCAACATGACGGCGGCGTAAAATACATACTGATAATTCCAGATTTTTGCCGTTGAAGAGCTGCGGTCGAAATTTGTTGAAATCAACTGAAATGCACCGAGCCTATAATTTTTATTTTTTCAAATAAAAAACGATAGTAAAAGACAAAAATAAAATATCAAAAATTATAGACAAACGGTTACAGTAAAAGCCTTTCTCCATAATATCACAATCGCCGAGTGCCCTAATAGCACCATAGTTCCACTGCATCGACATAAATCACAATTATTTTTTAATTGTGACCCAAGGCGGCGAATTCCCGCGCAGATCCTGCCGAGATTACCCGACGACCTATCGACTATCTCCGCTAAAACAACTCTATTATCTCCGTTTCATTCCTCTTCTGCCCCATCTACACGTTGCTTTCTTCTCTCTCTCACGTATGTCGACCATGGATAAGTCTCCGTTATCTTTCTATCTTTATCTTTCTCTTCTGTGTGTGTGCCATTCGTAACAACGCGATACAGTTAGTCGTGTGTTCCCGTATAATCGATTCTATCGGCGCATACCTGCTGGATAATGCAGATACGGCACCTGGGATTTAGAAAGAAGAAGGAAAAACAACGGGCTTCTGTGATCCGATTGGCCGATAACGAATAGAAAATAGAAACACAGTGGCGTGAGGAAATTTAAGCTTTAACCTTTTGGTGGTCGCGCTTCATTTTTTACATGAACCGTCTGCCTGCTAAATTCAAGAAGTCTTAAGCGTTGCTAGTGGTGTAAGACATAAAATAATATGATAATCAAATTAAAAACTCTTTATTGGACTTGCTTCATCACAAAAAGCAAAGATAAACATAAAATATATAACATAAATTACGTAGAAATACAAACTAATAAATATTGTTTAAAAAGAAAAATAAATAATAATGAAAAAGTCAATCCTTAGAAAAGTGATTAGAGAACATTTGTGATTATAGAACATTTGTGTGTGCTCCAAACATACGAAATTGTGACACTGTACATAAGAGTAACGAGTTCACAATGCTGTTAACCTATCACAATGCTGTGCCGATCCTCTAGCAATACTGTATTCAGCGCTTCAGAATCTGAAATTTATTTTTCTGTATCAGAATTTATTTCGGGTCCTTCTATAATATCCACTTCTTCTTCTTCCTTTTCATGGTCATGTTCAGTAGTCAATTCGTCATCTTGTTCAAACAGTCTTGCATGAGCTGTTGCAATCATTTTTCCTTTGCCTTATATGAGTACATCTAAAAAATAATACTTATTTAATAAGAAAATGTCGATTGTTCGCTTCTTTTATCACAATTTACTCATTTTCAATCAAAACAAATCAGTAAAATAACTTTAGTTTTCTTACTGAAAACTTTTTTTCATAATCCTACCAATGATTTTAATTATTTTTTTTTAAGTGATAAAAGTGCTGTTTTAGCCAGTAGTCGGACAGTGCTTGCCAGTGTCCGGCCGGGTAGTCACCATAAGTCGGACACTTTGTGATTGGCTGATTCTGTACAGTCCCGTATTTAATATATTATGTATATTTTAAAGCGCAAATTTAATATTTAACATTATATACCGTAATACAAAAGCCAAAGTAATAAGATTCTTTGGCTTTTGTATTAAAAACAAGGTCTCTATGGGATCAATGGACGCCTTTTTTAATTATATACCGTTTCTTGTTGTTTGATATCTGCATATATGGAAAAACCATCTTTAAACGATCATCGATACCATGCAATGCTGTTCATAAAACCATGCTTCCATTAGTAAACAGCATTTTCAATTTTTCTTCTTCTAGATACAATTTTTTCAACTGTATTAAGTAACACCTGTTTTTTTTTATTGGAAATACGCAAACAGTTAGTTTTCAATCCAGGTAACATTTTTTTTCAATTTCTCTGGTTAAAACAAGTGCTGGTTCCATTCGTTTGCAAACGTCGCTTATTTATCTTTAAAATACGGTCCTGTGCTGACACACCATGTTGACTTGGAATCTTGTACTGACGTTGCATGTTTTACGCAATTTTCCCTGTTCCTTCGGACAGTTTGGACTGTTTTTTATAATGCATCTTTGTTGTATTGATGAAAATTCCCTTTTACTTTAGGATTCATGTTTGAAAATAACCAAAATCTCACAAAAATCAGTCTGAAAACCGCAATATGACGTCGAAAAAGGGTCCAACCTCCCAAATATATTAAATTAAGCGTTGACTGGTGGTCGGACAGCTTTTATTTCCTTTGATCTGTGTTTGTGTTGTGTTTTTGCTGTCCGACAACTAAACACTACCAAAAACTCATGTTTAATTATATTTCAAACGAACAGTAGTTATTACATATAAATTATCAAGAAAAAGGCTAAAACAAAAGAGTCCTTTTTCCTGGTCTTCTAACTGGACTTAAAACAAAATTATATACGAGTTTATTGGACACCTAAATTTAACATTAAAATTATGAAAAGTATCTTTTTTGTTATTTGAAATAATAGTTTAGACTATTCTGCATACACGTAAAGTTATAGGTACTTCATAAATTAAATACAAAATGTTTAACTTACCTTACAAACTATCCCAACTCCACCTTTAACAGGCAAAAATTAGGAAGCACAAACGTGTGGTTACTTTCCCGAATTTTTCACGTTTTTAGGGTGACAATTTAGGCAAAGAAAATGTAATATAACAAAGCGAAAGAATTGGTAGAATTGGGTTTTTAAGTATTAGAAGGCAATACTAAGCCATATTTAACTTATTTTCTAATAAATACGTTTTGTCCGACCACTGGCATATAGACCCTACATACCGTAGCTTTTTCGAATCTCGACAAGATCTTTAGGCTCATGACGTTTTAAGTGCTTGTCGGTCTGACCATACATTGATGAGCTTTTCGTAGTAAACTCTCCTATTGTTTTCTTTCGCGCATATGACACTTACTCCCGGTAATATGACACTTTAGTTGCTAAAGTCAGAATACACAAAACTTGTTACTAAGGTTATTATATGACATATTTCTAATATATATTTTTTGTTTCAGATCATGACCTGCCAAGATGCCCATCCTACTTCTAAGGCAACCGTCCAACACTTCCTTGGCGGCCATCGTGGAGAAATCCCAACGTCAGCCGAGCCATACCCACTTAGGCTACGACCTCCAACTTAAAACAACCAGCTCGACCTTGTTCTACTCTCCAGGCCTCCAGAACACGTACCTAACCCATCGAAAGTACCTCTAGAACTATCTAAACCTTTAACACATTTAAAACTGTCACCTGACGAAGGATTTGAAAGCGATATCGATACTATCTCTATAGTGAGCAGTGAAAATGAGTCGTTTGCTGTTGACAAAGTTGGACAGAAACCTGTTCTGGCTGAAACGGATAGTGCCAATGGAGGGTCGGGTACAGAAAGTGAAACGGAAGCGGAGAAAACTAGTACATTGACTCCGAAAAATGCCAACACAATTAAAGAGGGCCTGGACAAGCAACTGTTTTTACACCAAGCTAAGGAAACTTTTGATCTAGTCGACTGCGTTTGTTATTCCGATGTGACATACCCTGACGTTTTGATATTCGTCATAAAAAGCGAGGCTCTAGTGTTCAGGTTTGAAAGCCTTCAAAAATTACAAACATTCTACACGAATTTTACAACTTTGAAAGCCGTGACCAATCAGAAAGCTTACAATTTGAGTAAGAATGTTGCAACGAAATATAACTTACTGCACAGAACAGATCACAATGGTGTTACACACATTGAAATCAAGAAACAGAACGCTAATAACAAGCCTCAGAATTCTTCGAACAGCGGTCATTCTAATATTATATCTATTGATACACCTGATGGGACGATATCAAATAGGAAACTGTTTGAAGTTGAAGATTCCAAATCAAACAAGCTGAAAGACGTAAACTTGCGTCAAAGGGCCGAGAGTAAGCTGATCACCGATATGAGGTTGTTGAACGATGCCAAGTTCAACACGATCAACAATAAGGTGGGAGGTAAGAAGATGATGGTGAGGAGTTCCATAGAGAATATTTTAAATGTAGATAATAAGGAAAGCAATCTAGTCAAAGATGATGGTGTAGTTGGTACATTGAGGAAGGTGTGGAATTCCGCAGAGGATTTGTTAGGTGAGTTTATTTTTATTCTGTTTAAAACATTTTTACTAACATTATTCCTTTAATATACAACAACAAATCGTCTCATTTAAAATATATGTTTAGAAAGAGAAATTAGATTTTGATGTCAATATGACCCCTATTTTTAGGGGACGCCACATACATGTGTTTTAACTGTTTTGAAAAGTAATAACTTTTTGTCCGTACCTGTATAAAACTACTGACTACTGAGTGAAAAATATACATTTCCGTGATTTTTTACAATACATGTCATTATTTGACAAAAAATCAACATGTTATGAGTAGATAGTTATTTGACTGAAATGATAAATTTGAGAACTTTTTTTTTTTTAAATTATTCTTTATCATAAATTTTTCTTTGAAGAAATAATGATAAACAGTTTCTGTTGAACTTTGGGCATAAAAACATTTCAAATTTATGATTTCAGTCTAATGACTCTTTAGTCAACATGTTTAATTTATGTCAATAATAATAATAATAATAATATATATCATTTACAACAAATGTAATTTACAAATACAATAAAAAAAATAACAATAAAAAAAAACATTGGTTTAAATTCAGTTCCCGTCAGATCACAATATCAGCTAGTATAAATGTGTGTTATGTAGCTAAATTATTTTACTGTAACTTATCTACAAATATAAGTAAATTATATAGTAATCCTATGACTAAGAAAATTTAATATGAAATTCAAAGCAATAAACACAAAGAAAAGTATTTTATACTAAAATAATTCTGAGGTAAAAAAAACTAAGAGGGAAGAGAACTATCCAGAAAATGGTTTTTAAGTTTATTTTTAAATGCAGCACTCTGAAAGTTTATCATTTCTGCTGGTAAACAACAAAGCTGGTAAAGCTTGGAAATATTAAATGAGAAACATCTAGTGAACAATGCTGTTTTGTCAGGTGATGGAGTAATAAGTCCCTTAAATCTAAGGTTTAAGTTGTGCACATCTGTTCTGAATTTTATTTTATTCACCAAGTATGGAGGACACTTCTTAGAAATAACTCCATGAAATAAAACCAATGAATGCATCTTACGTCTGTTTTCCATATTCAACCACTTAGCTTCTTTTAACTTATGCGAAATGGGATCATATTTTCTTATACTATAAATAAAACGTAGGCAGCTTTTTTGAAGCTTCTCTATTCTGTTAATGTCAATTTTTTCCAGACATGGTCCATATATAACGTCACAGTAGTTGAAATGGGATAAGACAACTATTTCAGCTAACTTTATCTTTAAAGTTTCCGAAAGTAACTTTCGATGCGGATATAACATTTTTAAAGAGATGTAAGACCTTCTGATACATTGAGAGACATGTTCCTTAAAGCGAAGATTATAATCTATAATTAATCCCAAATTCTTGGCAGATTTAGTAAATTGTAATTTTTGTTCAGCTAAACTTATTGACATTACGTTAGATAGAAAATCCCGGTGTTTTCCAGATATCATAACAAGATGATTTATCTGGATTTATTGCCAGGCCGCGATGATTTGAGACTTGTACTAATTTATTTAAATCGTCATTTATTAACGTTTGAGCTAATGTCCAGTCATCGAAATTAAACGAAAAGAAAAGTTGTGTATCGTCTGCGTAGCAGTGTGCATTAACATTATCTAGGTATGTAGAAATATTACTTGTATATATTGTAAAAAGTAAGGGTCCCAAGATAGATGCCTGTGGAACTCCACAACTAATAACTTCCCTCGGAGATTACCCTGTAGTAGTTTTTACAAATTGCATTCTATTATTTAAATAATTTTCAATTAGACCGACTGCATTTTCTGAGAAGCCTACATAATGTAATATAGATAGAAGTAGTTTATGACTTATTCTGTCAAAAGCCTTTGAATAATCTAATAGCACCAGTAGATGATGACCGGTGTTGACAATTAAGATTCCAAATATCTCGAGAACCATTACTTGTACTGATCATCACAAAGAGACCTATTTTACGTAAAAAACGCAATAAATGTATATTTTTTTCTCAGTAGTTCCATACAGGAACGGACGAAAACTTATTTCTCTTCAAACCAGTTAAAAAATATGTAAGTGGCGCCCTCTTCAAGTAGGAGTTATATATAGGTATCAAAATCAAATTTCTCATATCAAAAATCTCCCAGACATCAATTTTCATCCAAATATTGACTTTAGTTCAGAAATTATTTGGAAAAAATCAAAATAAAAATGAAATTTCTACACCCTGTATCTCCAAAACTAAGCATTTTAGGACATACATTTATTTTATATAAACTTTTTTACTTACTTTTATCTGCAGAATGTGCTACCGAAGTTTCCGGAATACAATTCGGACCACCCTGTATAATTACATACAAAGTATGACTTTCAAATCTTTTTGTAATATTTGGAACGTTTGAAATTGTTTCAAAAATTATTTGTGGCATTTGAAAAAAAATGGCATGTTCTATTCGGAGTAAAAGTGACTTGAAAAAACAACTAGACTAAAATCAATCATAATTTTTCAAATTTAACATACCATATTGTTATCTGTGATTGAACAATTTTTGTGATAGATATAATGCGAGATATAATGTTTTGACTTTGTAAAAAAAATTAAAAAAAATTTTGACTTTTTAACTTGTTTGTGATTGTCTTTTATAAATTTGACCTCTGTAATTGTTTTTAGCTTTAGGCCTGAAGATGGGAATATTTTAAATTCCCGAAACATGTCGCCCCCCCTTGGTTTTTTAAGCATTAAAATTTAAATTAAACAACTTAAAGATTGTGAGTTATTGTCCTTTTACCCTCCTTCAAACGTTTGCTTTGATAATATGTACTCACACTGGGTTAGGGAACGTTTACTTTTATAACTGTTCGTTTTTTAATTCTGCGCCTAGAAGAAAAATACTATTACACTTACATTAAGGTGTTGCATACAAAACATTGAGATACATGATTTTAAATATTGCAATGTTGTCCACGCAAAAAAATACCTTGTATGAGATGTGAGTTTTTATTCACGGATTTTTTCTGTTATCCTTGGTGTTTAGGGAAATATATCTAATAAAAAACATCCAGACAAGAATTTTCATCCAAATGTCGAGGTTAATTCAGAAATTATTTGGAAAAAATCGAAAAAAAAATGAAACTTCTATACCCTGTATCCCCGAAACGAAGTACTTTAGGACATAAATTTATATGAACTTTTTTACTTATTTTCATCGGTAGAATATATTGCCGAAGTTTACCGAATACAATTCCGACACCCTCAATACTTCACACCCTGTATATATTGGAATAATAACCTAATGCTAATTATCATTTTTTATTGTTCCAGATTCCGATAATCCTCGAAGACCTGAACGCCGGAGAAAAAAGAAACCTGCACCCCCACCACCCATCGCAAAACCTGAAAAAGTCGAGGATGTCTTCAGCGGACAATTCGTCCGAGTCAACGTCCATCTAGTCAAAGACTTGGTCGACAAAAACCGACTGGTAGTCAAAAGCAGTGCTAACGAACCTCATCCCAAAAAACTCGGCCAAAACTTCAACATCCTCAGTTCTAAAAACAATTTCACTTCATTCCTCAAATCGAAAATCGAACCGAAAGCCACTGGTCAGGTTCTGAGGTACCACCAGGACAATGCGACGTTGAATAGACCAACACGAACGCCACTGTACGAGAAAAATAACTCTTGGACCAATTCAGTACCGAGAATCTTAAAGAAAACTTCTCGAAGTAAGAGCGAGACTAGAAACTCGCCTCAGAACTTTCAACCTATGGCCTATAGGTATATTGATACTACCATGGACTACCCTTACAACACCTCCATGCAAAACAACGCCATGTTCCTTACCGCTACAGGTCTCAAGCCTAAACCTCACAGCACGGAGACTTTACAACGTAAACCTCACAACATTGAGACACAACCACGTATTTCTTACGCGTATAACGTTACCAGCTTGCCCAAACACCAAGAGAACAACATGGGTAATAGGATTTTTGGTCTGACGCCTAAACTGAAGGATTTCAGTAAGGGTGACAGTGTTGCCAGGCTGGGCAACAAATGGGGAAGTGCTAGCGACTTAACGTTTCTCAGTAACGATAAAAATAACCTGAAGAGTAGCATAAAGAGTGGGGAAGGCGGTTCGAAGAAAAAGAACGAGAAAAAGGTGACTTTCAGTGCATATAACACGGTTCAAGTTGTTTGAAAAGGAAATAGATCGGGTTTTGGCGTTTGGTTTTCGATCATCACGAATGTGAATGGTGAAAGTGAATTTATCTCCAAATTTATAACCAGAGCAACGGATGGAAGCGTATCAAATATTTCGGGAGTGAGCAAACTGGTCCACAATCAGATCTGTACGTTTTAAGATCAAAATCAATAGTATTACATCTTTTGCTTTATTGCTGCTTCTTTGTGTATACAAAATGTCAAAGAAATAGTGTATCTTACTTCGGTGAGTGATTCTACATAATATAAAAATAAAACAAAACGTTCCTATGAACATAATATGCCCTAAGAAGTTACAGTTCCCTCGAAAGTTCAATTAAAAATAATATACAGGGTTACAATTTAAAAATATTTTTATTTAAGATACAGAGTGTCCCAAATAAATAAAAAAATATCAAAGTTGTATTTTTTAAATGGAACACTATACATTAGCATTTTAGTTTCTACGATTAAAAGCAAAGGTAAATTTGATTAAGGTTTATTACACTTAAATTACTGTTTTTGAATATTTTCACTTTTGTGAAATTGCAGTATAAATTTTAAGGCTTCATTTCTCCGAGGGTATCAGAGTTTTTAATACTAAATATTTACTGAAGTTTATCTATTGATCAGTTATTGTGTTGCAATAATAAAAACTTTAATACCTTATACAGAGTGTCTAAAAAATTATTTTAAATAATTACTAGCTTTAAAAGGCAATAACGTGTTTAATTTAAATGGAACACCCTATATATTTTATGAGAATCAGATGCACAATTTAATTGTCTATCAAATTGTATTATACCATTTTTTACCTGTCTCTTCAAGTTTCCGTAGAAAATGCATTTTCTTGTAATTTAGAACTCATTTATCAATATATCCATGGAATACTGACATTTTAGATTTTATTTTTAAAGATATACCAAATTTTTAAAGAGTACAGATACTAATATTGTCGATATAGTTCGTTTATTTCAATAAAAAATAAAAAAAAACAACTGTTTAACTATTTGTTAAAGAGGACCAGTTAATACGTATGATTCCAGTATTCAAACTACATTAATTGACTGTTTGCGTTGATTAATAATAATTGCTCCAAATACTAAAAAACAGAATTATGTATGTGTATTAGACAGCGTGGTAAAAAGTAACAGCTTAAAAATGATATTTAATTTTTTGACAAATGCTTATTTATAACAACAGAGACGTTCATTTTTATAACTTATTTTATTATATTGATTTCTGATTCAAATCCACATTTATTTAGAATAATTTATTAACGAACACAATTAAGTATGTAGTTAATTAGTATTTTAAGGAAATACTGGTGGTATATTTAATTAATGGTATACTCTTTTATAAAGATTTAAATAGTTTTCTTGCATACAATGGCTAGTAATATTATCGTTTTACTAAAAACAATAATATTACTATTCTGTACATTTTGTACATTTGTTGTTTTAAAACAATCTAAAAATGTCAATATTCCATGGGTATATTGATAAAATAAATGAGGTCTAAATTATAAGAAAATGCATTTTCTACGAAAACTTGAAGGAATAGGTAAGAAGTGGTATAATACAATTTGATAGACAATTAAATTGTGCATCTGATTCTCCTAAAATATACAGGGTGTTATATTTACATTAAATAAGTTATTGCCATTTAAAACTAGTAATTATTTAAAATAAATTTTAGACACTCTGTATAAGGTAGTATAATTTTTATTATTGCAACACAATAACTGATCAATAAATAAACTTCAGTAAATATTTAGTATTAAAAACTTTGATATCCTCCGAGAAATGAAGCCTTAAAATTTATACTGCAATTTCGCAAAATTGAAAATATTTCAAAAACGGTAAGGTTTGTGTAATAAACCTTAATCAAATTTACCTTTATTTTAATCGTAGAAACTAAAAATGTAATAATGTATAGGGTGTTCCATTTAAAAAAAATACAACTTTGATATTTTTTATTTATTTGGGACACTCTGTATCTTGTAAAAATATTGTTAAATTGTAGCTCTAATAGTCCTTCAACGAACCCAAAACTTACAATTTGTAAAAATGTAATCGTTTAGCTACAATACTCCGTGTCGTATGTGGTGAACAACCCTGTATATTGTTTATTATTGAAAACATTAATGAACAGTTTATCTTGAAATTTGGTACCATTAGAGAAATGTTTAATGCCAAAGCGAATTGAGATAGTGTAGAATTCCGTAACAGAATTCCGTAACTTTCCCTGAAAGCTGAAAGGACACTTTCCTTTAGGGTAGAGAGTACTACTACTGGTACTTTTTTATCCTTATACATACAGTAATTTCAACAAGTGACATAAAAAGCTCGGACTTTAGAAAGGTGCTCTTCGTTTAGTTCGAAACGGTGAACGGTTTTCAAGATATCTGCGTTTAACGGTTACGACGCGTCCATTTTAGTACTAGCGAAATATTGAAATTAATAATTTATTTATAATTTCTTTACATTTTATCATTTTGCTAATACCCCTCTAATACTAAAACCAACGCATTTTAACCTTTAAACGCAAATTTTTTTTTGCAGCTCTGACTGTACCTATAAGGATAAAGGAAGTACCACAAGTAGTACTCTCTATTCTAATGAAAAATACACTTTCAGGGCTGTTACAATTTTACACTATCGCCATTCGCTTTGGCACTAAAATGTGTGTAAAGGTGCGTACTCACTAGAGCATTTTGGTCCGAACGAACCAAGCGAGCCGAGCGCGCCCGAACGAACTCAATAAGGAAAAGATCGCGATGTTCAGAGTGCTTGTTGCGTTCGCTGTGTTCCCACGTTCAGTTGTATTTAATTTTTATTCGCGCTTTGAATCTCTAAATGTAGATTTTTCACGTGATTGCTTCTTTACAGCTAGGTTAGAAATCATGTGATATTTGCCAAATCTTTCCGTTAAAAAAAAACAAGCTTTATTGTTATATTCGTTATAATTGGTGAAAATGTACATTTTCCCGTTACAATAGATTTTTTTCCTTTCGCCTTCTGAAACTTGCCAGAAGACTTTCAATTTTTTTCGTTGCTTCTCCAGAAGCACATCCCATGATCTCATCTATCTGCCTTCACGCATCAAACTTCTTAACTTTATTATAGTATAATCCATCACAAAGCATTGAATATTGTTCATAAATGTCTATTAACTGAAGGCACTTTTCTCTATTCCACTCCATTTCGTTTGAGCAAAGAAAATCAAAACAATGAAAATGTTTACCCGCGAATGTCTGAATAGCACTGAACAACGCATCCTCTTTGAGCAAAATGTGAACCGACAAGCCGGCGAAAATGTTTGGCGCGCTCGAGTTCAGGGAATTTTGCTCGCGAACACGTATTCACTTGCCGAATTTGGCTCTGCGCGCTCGGCTCGTTTGGTTCTGTTCTGGAGCAAAATGCTCTAGTGAGTTACAACCTTAGTTAAATGCTAATAGTGAGTTACAACCTTAAGAGTGTAAGAGTACAAAATTTCAAGTAAAACGGTTTACCAAAGTTCTTAAAAACAAAAAAAAAATAATATTTTTATTTACTCTATCGAGCACTGTAATAACTTCTTTAGGAAGCTTATTTGCTACAACACAAGAAATCTGTAATAGTTCCATTAATAGAATATTTCAGTACTACATGTTATGTTAAATACAGTACGATCTTTAATAAACTTTACAACTAGAGCATGAAATTGCATGTTTTAACATTTTTCTTATTAATATTTATTGTGTTTAAGTTATTTTTTGTTGGATATGAGCTGATATATTTTCGTAAGTATCTAAGCATACATATTAATAGAAAAAACAAGTTATTGCAGAACGTACCTATTTCTAGTAATAATTGACTAAAATTTTCAACCTAAATATGGACCAGTTTGCTCTCATCCGTCTTCCTTAGGTATCAATTTTATAAATTCCAATCTTATTAACGTCTTTACGATCTCTTTTTAGTAGGGATGTGCATTTAAAGAAAAAATGTCGATTGGTAAAGGGAATCGTTCTCGGCATCTTCGATTTATATTTCGATATACCGAATTTAAATCATTTTAATAATATCATAATGGAGTTATGTTCAAAGTTGATACAATTAAAGTAGTAGTTATTATGTTCAAAGTTGTAGTTATTATGTTCAAAGTTGATACAATTAAAATAGCCTTCATTAATCAAAATAATGTCAATTATCAAAAAGTTTAAGAACTTTGCAATTGGTGGAATAAATTAGTGGTTTCAATTAGAGAAGACGTTTGTTTATCTAATTTTAGTATAAGCATTTAGAACGCCAAAATTAGTGGTGGTAATTTTCAATTAGTAGAAGATATTAACAAACTTTTAACTTTTACCACTAACTTAACTATACATCAAAATTTGCGACTAATGTCATTTTGGCCATTGATTATCATCCGTCAAGAGAATTTGTCTTTATAAATAAAAAGTTTATTGTTTTATAAGCTAATTATTAGGCTTTCTCTACGGATACAACTGACTACCGCAAGCTGTTGCTAGAATATTCTATTAATTTTAATTGTATTTTTAGATATTGTGAATAATCGTAAACTTTTAAGTATAGAGTATAATTGAAACCATTAATTAATTCCACTAATTTCGAGATTCTCCATGAAGCTTTACTATAAAATTTTTTCCATCGAATCGATATTTAAAAAAAAACGATTCTAATATTGAAGAATATCGATATTTTTATAAATCGATATTTTTCCACATCCCTACTTCTTATTAATGAAATGAACGTTAAAACACGTATCGAAAATGTAAGTCGTGACTCGACCATAATTTCGTTATTGCTCGATAATTTTTTTTGGGCGGTAAATTCCGTAAAGTTAGTGTTATTATTTTGAAAAATTGTATTGTGCCGTATTTTTGAACTGATTATTCCATTACCATGAATATTGCCTTCTTTTTGTTTAGGATAGATCGTTACAAAGCTACATTTTGTTGTTGCGTCGTGAATGGAATTTCTTTTGTTGGCTCGAAGCTTTTGATTGACTGTCATTCATTAATTTAATGCAACTTTTCCTTTTCAAAACGTAGGTAGAGTCAAAAGCTTCCGAGATTTTTTTATATTTTTTGTAACTTTGATGATAAATATCTTTGTTCATATTAATGTTATTCTTTCAAAAAAAAGATATTAATTTATAAATCTAATTTCATATTTTTGTTTAGAAAATATGAATTTTGTATATTTCATTGTGTGGTTTTTAATTAAAAATTTAAATTTATATGAACTCTGGAATATTGGTCATCCAAAAAATTATAAGAATTGTTATAGATTCGTAAAAAAATGATAACATTTTTTATTAATAACTATATACACTCACCGGCACGAAAAACGGGCAC